TATTAGATTTTAGATCATTATAAATAATCAAACAATAAAAACATTTTATTTTGGCTGGAAATCCACGTCTTTACCAGACCTGGTACTGCTGTTGATCTGCATCTGAGAAAGTTTTGGCCTTTCAAAGGTTCAGGAAAAGTTCAGCATTTCCAAGCTGTGGCCTAGCTGAACTGTTTTCTCTGTGATTTGTGTCAAATGATGCTTTCATTCTTCTAGTGGTCTCTGGTTTCAGGTCTCTCCAACTCTTACTGGTTCCCACCACTGCAACTTGTAGAATGAGCTGCTGAGCCAAGTGGCTCCTGCAAAACTCAGATAGACAGCTATGCAGATAGCTTTGTACAATCTTTCTAGTTCTTGAAGCAGAAAGGCAGTTTGATCAGAGTTTGAAGACTGAGCTCCTTCTACAAGCATGGACAGACATTCAGATGGTTTGCCCAGATATCGACACCCCTCTGCAAACAGAAAGATGCATGGCCATTTACCATTCTTAGAAAAGTTCTGTTAAAGTGTCATTCTGACTTATCTAAACATTTTTACAAGATGTGACATTTTTACATTGCTGTTCTGTCCTCACTAGGTGTTGTTCTCTTAAACATAGCTTTAGCTCACTTAGCTATACAGACAGCTAAACACTGTCATAATCAAAGTCCAAGAAACAGCCTGATGCATTGAGTTGGGTGCAGGTTTGGATTGTTAATCTGTGATACCCGGCGTTTGCCCGGTGGGCTGGTCTTAATTTCAGTGTGCGAGGTCCGGCCCTCCTTAAATCATATCGGCCCCAAAACTTACTCTCCAGCCGAAGCTCCTACCTGTGACAGTAAATAACTCAAGGAGCTCAAGAAGTAACCCAATGTTAACTACCTAAATGATGCATGCAGTATATATAGCCCTTCCTTGTCATTCACATCCTTGTGATGGTTGGCATATGGTGTCATTTTCTAATTCTTCAAACTGTAAAATCCTATTTCTTCAAACTGTAAAATCCTTTCAACAAACTAAATTATAATTAAACTAAAATAAGTTCCATAAGTGGGCCGGTGTAGATGGAAAAATGCCAGGGCCGACAATCGTTCCCAGTCCAGGCCTGGCTGGATGTTTTTATAAGGATAAAGTGTTAAACTGTTAACCAAACAGAAATAATACAATATATCAAAGTAAAGGTATTTATCCACAAACATCAACACAATATTTATCAATTTAATGACTCTTCAGACAAATATCAAGAGAAATGTAACTGATTCAGATGCTTTTCAACTCAGTATGTCACAGAAATTAACCATTACTGTAGTCATCTAAATTCAATAAAAAAAAAAAAAAAAAAAAAAATTAAGATAAATATAAATGAACATAAGTTGCTTAACAGATATACAACAATATTATTTATAGATTATGCCATTTTTAAACCTGTGAAGGCATGGATGGGAATGGAATACCACGTGAAAATATCACTAGTTAGCTTTTGAAAAAATATAATGCACAAATAAATCAGCAGGGCTGCAAAAAATTGCAAAACAGAAAACTCCAAAGTATATAGTATCTAATTCCATTACAATTACAGATCAAAATACGTTGACTCTTAAGACTATCCTGCTTTGATATAGGCCAAAATACCTTCTTCCAATTACTCAAAGGAAAGTGGTTTTAATCCTTAATCTAGAAAAAGTATGGCAAGAAAAAGCATCTGGTCAGCAGGTGACTATTTGATTACATGTTAAATGTTCTGTTTTTGGGGTGTTTGAATGTATTTCCATTTATATTATTGATTCTCAGATTTTTGGATCCAACTTTTATTAGGGAAGATTATCTCAGAAGTATATATGTATTATCAGTAGACCCTGCAGAAGCATGGATTTAAATACATTAGTAAAAGCCCTTTGGATCTTCCCTGCAACTACACTATGAGGTTTTATCCCTTAACATATAGAATTTGCAGAAAGAGAGCAGCTGAAGCTCAGATAATAACAAGGGAATTTGGCCTTCATCCAAGCTTTGATACAACATAAACAAATGGTGTAACTTCACTAAAGGGCCAAGCTGAAGAAACTTGGCTCTTTGAGCAGTTTGGGTTGCCGACCCCTGTACTATTGTAAAGAAAATAGAATAAAGTATTTGAAAAGGTAGGAACCAAAGAGGAGATGATGAGCAGATCTAAATGCTCCTGACACTTCTGTTAGAACTTGCTTTACATAAAAAGAGCATCCATTTGGGTGATACAAATCATTCAAATAGTTAACATGTATTCTTCTGTTGTTGAAAGTGGTAATATCATGGCAACCATCACACTAAATAAAATGATTCTCCTCCCCCTAGTGTTTGAAGTTAAGAACAGCTTGTGTTGACAGTCAAATATTTATCAGACATTTTCCAAATTTCACAGATTATTGGATTTGATTCTATCAAACACACAGAAATGCTTCAGCACAATAAAATTATTCAACTGATACAGACATTTTTTGATAATTTTTGGTTTATTAACTTGTTACTTACATCTAAAAGTAAAACACTAATTACATCTTGAGTATATATATACCTTGATAACTATCTGTTGTCTTTCTTTATATATGCTTCATTTATATTTATATTTGTCTATGGTTACAGATGCAACACATGGTCACAGAGTGTTCTGTAAACATTGCAGTATCAGGGGTTTTAGATTAAGGCCAATATATTCCATCCATTTTCTCCCTCTTATTCCATCAGTGTCGCGATGCGGCCAGTGCCTAACTTTGGCAGACTATGGGCGAAAGGCAGGGTACACCTTGCGCAGCTCGCCAGTCTGTTGCAGGGACGATATATTTGCTGGTGAATATTCTCAGTCTTCCAGGTCATTCAAAATGTCAGGAATAGCGTTGAGTTCGAGTTCCTGATATTTCGAATTGGAAAAAGCTTCTTGGATGGGAAGCAAAACGTCTTCAACATCTTGGAAACAAAGTCAAGAGTTTTGTTTTTATTTTCTTTGTTTGGAATGGCCGATATATTCTGACACTAGGTTTTTTTACTGATATCGAACTGATTTCAGGTACCAGTATCAGGTAGGGACATTCCAAAAACTATTTTTTTTAAGTGGTTTAACTTCTTTGCATTGTAAGTAAATGTGTTCTTAGGATCATTAATCAGGGAATGGTTAGCCCAGAAATAGTACCCCCACCCTTTTTTTTTTTTTAGATATTTAGGCCTCACTCTTTATGCAGTACACATATTTTTCACATACAATATTTAAAAAAGAAAATCTGTAACACATTAATATGCTTAAACATCCCATAAATATGTACATTTGAAAATAAAAAAGATGAACAATAAGGCCCTTAGTGCAGGTTTTAGTTGTATGTGGACAAAGATTCCTCTTAGATTACGTAGAAAGCTTGAAAAAAAATCTCCTTATTCAGCCCTACTCTGGATGAGCTGTTTTACGCTGCTTCCCCCAACAACCATGACAACCAGTTTGAGTACGTAAAGAAAGCCTAGGTGCACAGGCAAGCCGGAGCTTGACCAATGGGACAGACTTCTTGGGACAGCCTATTTCCCTTTATGACATCATAAGGAGAACGCTTTTCAAACAGACCGTTTTCAGCTTGTTAGCTAAGAGGTGCAGAGAGGCATTAAGAGAGGTGAAAGTGTTTTTATACATTTTGTAAACCTCATACACATGCTTCAGGACACACATGATGGTTACAAAGTGTTTATAAAGGGAATTATGTGGGAGCTTTAAAGTCATAGGTAAACAGCCGTTGCCAACCATTGCATTTCCGAATTCTCCTAAGTGGAGAATTCTAGACGGGGCCGCCTTTTACAGCTGCTTTTTGTGTCCCTGCTTCTGTCTCCTTGAACCCCAGTCGGCCTCGGCAGATGGCCGCTTACACTGAGCCTGGTTCTGCTGGAGGTTTCTTCCTGTTAAAAGGGAGTTTTTCCTCTCCACTGTCGCTACAAGCATGCTTAGTGTGAGGGATTGTATTTGAGTCAATGAAATCAACTGGTTTTCCTTAGATAGAAAACTTTGTATCAATTTGACTGTATGATCTGGTTGAACTGTAAAGTGCCTTGAGATGACATGTGTTGTGAATTTGGCGCTATATAAATAAACTGAATTGAAACTGAATTGGTGCTCAAGTGTACACAAGTGAATAAAGTGAATGTGATTGGTCGATTATCAAGGGGACGGGATTGTTGTGGCAGAAGGTTCGCAAGCATGTTTGGTTGTGGCCGGTTTGTCGGAAGCATCTTGCTAACCTGTTAGCAACTTAATGCTAGTAGGTTCCCAATGGGAAATTCCATTGGAATCAAGTAGCACTAAATTGGTGACTTAGAAACGACACTGTCAAGGAACGCTATGGACAGCGGAAACATGCAAGAGGAGGAGAGTTTAGTGTCGGAGGTCGTGGATGAGTCTCCTCCATCAACCATTTTTTATTTAGAGGATGAAAGCTGGATGAAGATGTTGTGGAAGAGGACGCCTTATTTCAAACGTTGCGTATATTAGCTGCGACATATGAACAAAGAAGCTATGACTGAAAAAATTTGATTGACAGATGACCGTTGATATATGATTGGCCGAATTTAGATGTTCAGGCTGACGTATAACTAACTGGCCTGCAGAAGATAATGAAAAGAAAACCAAAGATTTTAAGACAGGAGTTTTTTTTTTTATAGACATTTTCTAAAATTTGGGACAATATTGTCTGATAAAGAGTACATTTATGCATGTTTAAGCCAGAATGATTTGACATTTAAATATGACTTCGCTTCGACTTTAAAAAGTCAACTGTCAGATAAAAGACTAAAGCTTTAAAACTCTCCTATTGTTGCTTTAGCAACAGTAGAGGTGCTTTCTCCAAAGAGTCAGGATGGATAGATTCTATCCAGCACAATGTGCTGAGGTTGCCTGAAATATTTTTACCCTTTCTTTATTGAAAAAAAAAAAGTGAGAAAGTGAGAAAGAAAATACAAAAATAAAAAGTCAACAAATTCTAACAAAAATAAGTAATTTTTCATATAGTGTTGTATTTATTTTTAACTCCTATGTGGTATAAGACCTGGTTTAATGTTATCTGGTGGAAAAAAGTGATACACAAACCCTATTCTCCATGCTTATTCCTAGAACAGATGAAATTAAAGCACTCATCATCGCTTTTTTTCAACCACTGGTGGGTTCCTCCTCTCTCCATGGCTCCAGACATGTCACAGTCATCCACTACTCCATCTGAGGCCCAGTTCTTATATCTGACCACCTCGTCACTGACCCAGAACCAGAAGTCCAGAGTGCAAGTGTAGTGCAGTCCCAGCCAGACAAAACTTGTTGAAGCAAACTGGGCTTTCCTTTCAACCCATCTCTGTTCCTCCAGATTAGTGATGGAGACCAGGTCATGGTGATGATCTCTGCAGTAGTACAAAGCTTCCTCCCAGGTTTTGTTTTCTTTTACCAGGATAAAGTCAAATGCTATAGAGATTTTCCAGAAAAAGACAAAACAAAGCATTATTTTTTCTCCAATTTACCAAAAACGAAAAGCCTGCAAAGGCATGAACTGCGGGAGTCTAGTCTGCCTATTTAAACTGCTGTAATGCTGGACAGCAGCCATATTGTGGCAGAATGAAGCTGCAAATTTGGAAGCACTACAGAGGTGACGGTTATTGGTTGAAAATAAAACTTCTAAAAATCAACTCACCATCATAACAGATGAATGGTTTTTTGAGAGCACAGTCCTCATTTATCCATCTCCCTTCATCGTTAAACACAGTCATGGCACACTGACCGCTGTTATATCGCTGATTGTCAAACTGAAGACTCCAGTGTCTAAAAGAAAAACTGCTTCCATCTGACCACATCCATGTGTCTCTGAACAGACCGATCAAGATGAATTTATCACCATCAACATTTCGGACTTCTTCCTTTAGCCTTTCATCCTGTAGCTGTGTCAGTCCACTGACCAGGTCTATATGATTTTCTCTGCAGTAACTCTGAGCATTGATCCATGTTTTTTTTTCTGGATTTCTTCGAATCAGGTGGAATACCTTGGATGAATTACTGCCTTTAATAAACAAAAAGTGAACATCAACCTACCTGTGTAATTTCTCTGTAGAATGAAATTTTAAATAAAAAGATGCAAAAACAATAACAGGTTCAAGTGTTTGAATAAGCCAGTCACATTTTCTATCTAATTATATTGACATATTATTATAACATATTATATAAAAAAAGCTTTTACTTTTGAACCCAATTATTATCCAGATTTTTTTTTTCTTTATTCAGCCTCAAAAACAAAATGTTCTTACCGTCATAGCAGAGAAAGTAAAGAGGTTTATTACAGGATATGTCTCCCCACTTCAGGCTATTCCACATAAATCCACAGTTCTCCACTCCTGGTCCTGCATCATTTGGCTCACCATCTTTCCACCGTTGGTAGTTTTTATCAAACTTCACTCCAGGCAGAGACCAGTGCCATGTTCTATTACCGTTCTTTTGATCATACAGACCGATCCAAGATTCATTCATATCTTTATCTTGGTTACTAAGGAGACTCTTCATGTCTGTCATGTTAGACACTGTGGCCAGGTCAGTGTACTTCTCTCTGCAGTACCTCTGAGCTTCGGTCCAATTTTTTTCCTCTTTAATGTAACGATACTGATACGACTGACAAACCATCACACAGCAATGACCTTAAACAGCAAAGAATAAAAATAGCTACTGGTATTGGAGATAATATATAATAAATACAAAGGTTTTGCAATCTATTGATCTTTCAAGCGAAAATGAAGCTTTATTATATTGGGATTAAAAAAAATGATAGAATCTCTACAACACTTACCAATCCACATTAGCAGAATGAAATTCCAAGACATAATTGCTCTCTTAGATGAAAACTTAAACTTCTTCAGATTCGTCTCTGTTAGAGAAATCTTATATGAAAACTCTTAAAACAAAATATATGAACAATTACTAAGAAACTGTGTTAGAATAACAAGTAAGAAATCGGCCCTGTTTATAACATCTTTCTTGAGGGCTGTTAATGCTTGGTTCACTTTGGAAGATTTTAAAATTGGCAGATGATTTTCAAGCTTAAGAGACCCCACACTTAATGATAGGAAATCATGGATTGGAGAGTTGTGGTCATACAGTGTGCCGTCTCCAGCCCCACAAGCGTAGCGCACCACACAGGGTTAGCTGACTTGGACACTCCTTGAAGATGCTTCCTGCAAATTGCTCACAGATCCTTCTGATGCACATTTCTGGTTCTTTGTACAATGGAAGATGCAGTCAAGTGAGTGGCTGTGCTTCATTTGCTGTGATCAGTCGGAAAGGACTAGTTTTTAAGAAACATTACTACATTTTCACAGACTGACATTGTTAATGTCAGCCTTTTTCACAGGTAAATACTAGGGAAGTTAAACCTCCACTGTAAAATCTTTTTAAACAATTGATCAAAAAGCCCTTATTCTTATCTTCAGCTACCACAGTATAGATGTCAGATTAAATAATACCACTTATACCTCAGTGATAGTATCATGGTGCTACTGTATTGTATCTCTTATACTATATCCGTTGGTTGTGTTGTTCTTTTTACATCACTTTGCAGGTGATGAAGCAGACAGAAGATATTTTATCCTTATCTCCTTTTTAATGTTTTTTCTTTTTTTTTCTTTCTTGTTCTATTTACATTGCAGTGTCTATAAAATATGTAATACTCCTTGCATGAATTATAATAAAGCTATTTACATCCATAAATCAAGCGGAACACTATGGCGATAGCTGTACTGCTCTACTTGTGAAAGCAAAATCTGTTGGGCTCTTTTTGGCAGCAAGACAATTATTCTTAGTGCTACATCGCCAGGCAGGACAAAACTGTTAAAAATAAATAGATAAATAATATAAAATAATTGGTCAAATATACAATATTAAACTTTATAAATTTAATCATTAAACCACATTAAATGCGTGCTAAAATGTTTTTTATTTCATGAGCATGTTGAACATTTCAAAAAAAAAACTAAAAGAGGCATGGTACTATGTAATTCTGTCCTATGGTTTTGTAATTTGCGTATTTCTTATACTAGAAATTGCTAGCTGTGTTTAATTTTCAAAGACAAATAGCTGAAAGAAATGATAGGTAATGAAGCTTAACTTCGACTTTTACAGTTTCAGGTTCAGTTTTTCTTTTTTTTATTATATATTTTTTACTTTGTCTCCTCTCCTATGATGGCTAATGTCATATGTATGTGCAAACTTAAATATGCAGTCACTTTTGTACCCAAACATCAACTTTACAAGTAGAGGTGCCCCAATGCCAAGGGAAGATTACCAAGCCCTGACTGTTGTGGCTTCAATTTTAGGGGGGTGTGTGTTCAACATGCAGTTTGAACAGTTTCAAAACACATCACAACCTTGTTATTAAGTTGATTAACTAACTAGATCTCTGAGGTCTTCTGGCTCAAATCTACTCTGCAGAGCCAAACATAGAAAAGCAACCTTTGGTTTTCATGTTCCACTACAGTCAAAATACTGGAAACCCTCGGTTGCTTTAAGTTGAGATTTACAAAATTTTTTATAGTAGCCTTTGACTATGCTATTTAATCATTGGTAGATAGTTTGCGGGTTAAAATTTCTTTTGATTTTCCTAATAATCCCTTATGTCCACTTATTAGTTAATTACTCTTATGCTACTGCAATGTTATTTTCTTTTTTCCCCACATACAGCCTTAAAATTCTCTTGTTACTGAATGTGCCTTGCTAATACTTGGTTCTCATAGTAAAAGGATATGGTACAACATGTAATTAGGAGTATTAATACACCATATAAAGCATTAAAAAAAATAAAAAAAACTTACATTTTGTTATCCTCTCTTATGCTGAAGTGAAAAAAAGATGTCTGTATTCTGTTGGACAAATTGTCTGAATGAAAACTCTGTTCCATCCGAAAGATAACTTTGTTGGCTTGAGGAAATTATTTGCATATTCAAACCTGTCAGGCCCACCCCACCCAACAAATTGTTTGCAAATTTGTAGTATTAAAGTGTACTAATATCAATATATTGAAGGAAAAGTCACCACTTTTCACATTTATGCAGTTTTACAGTGAATAAATCTGACATAATTTGACATTAGATGTAGCCGCAGAAATGACAAAATTATTTAATGTTACTGAAATTTTACCTGGATTCAAATGTTTAGAGGTCCCATTCTTTAGAGAAGACCAATTGGCTGCTATATTTTTCCTGGGTCCTGCGGGTCATGTATGCCTTCCATTCATCACTCACATTAAAATTTGGATATGAAAATACCCTTCCCAAAAACAACAAGTCAGAGGGATTTTAAATAATGAGCGAAAAAAAAGTGACTTCTCAAGGAGCAAGGACATTTCTAGGATAAAACACAATAATTTTAGTCTTTACTTGTTTAATCTATTAATTTTATCTAGAATGAAATACTCATTTAGGTTTTACATGTAAGATGCTATGATGTTTGAATAAGATATCAGTAAACAGTAGCAAATACACCCTGTTAAATTGAAAAAAAAAATGTTAGCCTAAGATAATCAGAAATCATAAAAATAATGCTTATATTTTGTATATGGTACCTTTCAAGATAGATCAGTGTTTCTCAACACATTTACAGATAAAACATAAAACGGAAAATAATTAAATAAATAAAAAGACACAACAAATATTATAAAGAAGCAATGAAATGCTCTTGGACTGACAATTTGTACACTGAGTGGATGGGCAAAGATGTTCATGGAGCCCACAATTATATGAGTATTGAGTAATACATTAAATCAATTCCTTTGGATTAATAAAGTCTTAAATATTTACAGAGGTGTTAAACTTTCGTTTTTGCCATTTCTAGTGATGGGACAAGAGTTATTTGACTGAGCGATAGGGCTGGAAAGGGTGAAGAAAAGGCACTGCATTGATGGCCCTATACACATTTGCATAATTTGCTATACAAACTTCATACACAGTGCCCTTTACAGAAAAAAATCCCCTACACGTTGAGCAGCTCATGATTTTAGGATCAGACCTGACAACATGTCTGGACTTGTGGGCCCCCTAAATATTGATTTCTATTCAAAATGACAGCTCTCTGAAAATGTGATTAACATTGATTCTATGAATATAAATTTGCTAAACCTATTCAAGGAATTAAGCCAAGATGTTCCTAATATCTTGGCCTAATTAAGCTTTAACTTAGTTTCAGAAAAGCAGTTACCCATAAAGAGAGGTGTAACTGTACCATGCCGGCTTTTTCTGTGCAGCGAGCCCAGTCTAAATGCAAAGCTTACTAAATCTTACCTGTTTTGTCAGCATCACAATAACGAGAAACCAACAATTTTTATAATTGATTCTTTTTTCTTCTCTGCACTTTTTGGTACTTTTTTTTTTTTAAATCAGCCTTATTACAACCCCTTAATGAAGTTTAGTCATGGCACTGGGTGTAACCTAAAACAATAAAATAACACCTTATGCAGATGATGTTAGTAATGGAAAATAAAATAAAATTTATTTTACACTGTTGAAAAGGTAGCAAACAAACATAAAATATTTAAATGCAGTGGAGCTTTGAGCTTCAGGGTCAGCGTCCTGCCTGAGAGATTTCGCCCCCTGGAGGACAAGGACCAAAATACATATTTCTTTGTCAAGTACTTTATTTATTCTAACATTATAACAATAGCCTATACCATTACTAACTTTAAAATATTCTATGTGCACATTGTTACTGTTTGGTTGGGATTTAAAGACAGCTATTGTTCTAAGTTTGACAGGAATAGCTTTTCATAGAACACTGAATGTGTTGGAGGGATTAGAGAAATGGCCATATTAGAATGTTTCCTGACAATCACCTGCATGTGCATCACTGCTTTGTCACTGTTTTTTTTTAAAAAGGTTTTCACGTAGTTTGTGTTAAATTGGTATCTTTATTTTGTGGACAGATAAAAGATGGTTGTTTTTTTCAATGCACAAATGTAATACAAATATTGTAATTCGGTGATGTAAATTATCTTTACATAGACAAATAGTCCAGTGTGTCAGCAGAGAATGTTTGTTGACAAGCCCTGCTGGGGGAGGTAAAGGAGCAAGCTGTGCTAAGTCATTCAAATAAACAGCTATTATTTGTGCTCAGCTGGCTTCCAGGGTGATTTGTAAAAAAACTTTCAAGCATTTATGTCCTTAATTATTTTTGAGTGTGCAGATCCAGATGACTGTCTCTTTAATTATTTTTTTGATTCCTAAAATTTGACATCATCTGAAAGCTTATAGTGCATTCTATTAGGAACTGCCAGTATCTCAACTAAACACTGGGTAGAATTGTTGATGGTCTTGCCATTGGGTGCCACAAGAAAACATCAAAGGCCACAATGCAGCTGTCACACTGTCAAATATATATATATATATATATATATATATATATATATATATATATATATATATATATATATATATATATATATATATAAATGCAACAGACTGCTGGGCTTTTTTTTAGCAGGTTTTCTTCCAGTTAAATAGGAATTTTTCCTCTCCATTGTCGCTGCATGCATGCTCCGTGTAAGGGACTGGTGTCGATTCAATGCATAGATAGACAAAAAGTAAAATTTTCTCTATAAAGTGCTTTTAGATGACATGTATTGGAAATTAGCACTATAGGGATATATTGAATTAAAAGGTTCATGAAAGCTTTGTTGTACAAATCTTTTTTGAAAATGCTAAAAAAGCCCAGAGATTTGGCTTCCTTTAGTAATGTATCAATTACCTGATCGAGTTAGAGATGCATCTTTACTTGCTATAAAGACTCATCTGCTAAGCTTTTAGTACCTATGCTCTTTTAAACGTTTTATTCTATATTATGTGTTGTTTTTCTTCTCCTGCTGGCATTCGTGCTTTACTGTAGCTGTGGTAGCTCTTGTTTATAGGGCCTTGGAAATAACAACTGCCTAGTTATAGAATGTGTGCTGTTTCCTTTGTGGTTAAAAAGGCCAAAAGATGCAACATGAGCAGAGCTTGGCAGGTCAGTCTTCCTGTTTTACATGTTTGCTTGCTGCTCGCTTGATCTTTAACATGCAAGAGAACGTCCTCCACCATCTGCAGATAGAAACATGCGTTGGATTGTTCATGTTAGTTTGGTTGTGGTCAACATTGTCTGGATAATTTTTTGTTTCACACTAGATCCTTCTTTAGGTAAGAACTAATAAACAAATAACAGTGCAGAGCTTTCGATCTATTTCTCTCTATTAACTGTGTTATCAGCCTTTGTTTCTGTCACTTAGAATTTACAGCTATTAAAGCATAGCATTTTTTATTTTATTTTATGGACTAGTCTTATAAATGTATCAAGAGTTTTTGTACAGAAAAGAAGCAGCAGCTCCAAAAAAGACCCACTTATGAGGGAATTTTGTATCCAGCTTCCATTTGAATTAAACTTTAAAGAACTTTGGAAAAAGATGAGCAACACCAGCGTAACACTGCATGGTAAGCTTTAGCTTTCTTAGTATCAAGTGTTATTGTTGATCAAGAAATGAATACTGTATTTGTTAAGTTTATTTAAAGCTTTGATGTGTAAAATGTGGTATTGTTTAAAAAAAAAAAGAAACTTTGTTCAAATCTATTGATACCGTAATACTGATACCACCTAAGTTGAATGTAATGTAGCTTGGTGGCAGGTGAGGGTGGAAGCTCTGCCATCCTGATTCTAGGGATGATATTCTAACTTCTTTGACATAAAATGTTAGCTCACTGGCAGTAAAAGTGCCAACTTTGTCTGTAAGGTCCATGCTGTTCTTTTAATTACATTAGTAATAGAATTGACCCCACTGCATTCTAAATGAGGACCCCAAACTAAATATGAAAGACAGTATGTATGCATTTATGAAGTATGTGGGCATGCTGAATAAATTCTGAGTGAGCAGAAAAGTATTGTCATGTTTGGCTTAAGGTTCCTAACCCACATGCAGAACACACTGAAGCAGGAGAAAAGTTCAAAGGTTTACTGAAATATTTCTGTACAAGGAATAAACAGATCCAGGGGTTAATCAGATCCAGGACTGGTCACGAGTGGGTTCACTGCAGAGGGGGACAGTGGAGTTAGTGGATGTCCAGGTAATTTGCAGGATGTGAGTGAGCAGGACAGTACCTGTTTTGCAGTTAGAGCTTAGCGGCTGAGGGGGGGAACCTTGAGGGTCCAGAGGCTGTTGGCAGGCTGAGGGCTTGGCGGATGCAGAGCTTGGTTTGAGTGTTTGCAGATCACAGATTAGAGTATCCCTTCCAGATTCTTCTGAGAGCGGACAGGCAAGTCTTTGACAGGAATGATTCTCCAGGGTTCTTCAGAGATCAGACAGGCAGATTTCCAACAGAGAAACTCTTCAGGGTTTCCGGTTTCAGGCAGGTTCAACCTGGGAAGCAGAAAGGAGAAATCAGATCAGGTTCAGGTTTTCAGGGAGTCAGAGATTCAGACAGGCAGGTTGGCTCAGGCTTGCTAACCGTAATTGGCAAACACTCTGGCACTGGAGAGACGTCCTCTGCCTCCTTAAATACTGATCTCCTGATGAGCAGACGAGCGACAGGTGGTGCAATCAGCTCCAGCTCCAGGAGATCTAGAACGCCCTCTGGTGGAGAAAGTGGACAGACCTCCAGATCCCAACAAGTATTATATGTTAATCGCTGCTTTTATTTAAAGCTAAATAAGCCTCAAACATACTTGCATTTTTTTTTAGCAGGCAATGAGACCAGTGCCTCTCAGAATGGAGACAACATGGTTGGCAAGACTCCCACAAGTGCTCCACCTAACATGTAAGTGGTTTATTTATTTGGTTAAAAAAAATCTGTTAAAAACTTTGACTAGCAATTACAGTGGTTTGTTAAAAATAAGCAAAAGAAAAGAATTCTCACAGCTGTAGAATAGGGTTTGTTATTAAATAAAGGTGAGGGTGACAGTCAATTCAACCTGGACAGACTAACACACACACACACACATACGCACACACACACAAAAAGCGGCAGTTACAGAGATTTATTGATGAATCTGACAGTTCGTTGGCACGGCAGAAGACTGTGAAGCTGCAAATGGCGATGAGCTTGGATGATCCTTGTGAGATCAGGATTAGATAGCTCGTCCCCTTAGATCTGGACACTGGTGGTGAAGTTGAGGCTAGAGGAGAAGGAAGTCAAAAAAAAACTGGAGAGCATGATGGGGGAGATGGGATGGATGAGACAAAGCTCAGCTGAAACCAGGAGAGCCTAAATGCAGAGATTTAGGCAGAACCCTACAGTGTGGTTGGCTTTAGAGGAAAGAAGAATTAACAATGATTGGCTGGAGCAGAGGCGCATGATGAGGTGATGGAAATCAGGTGCTTCAGTTTGAATTTGTGTCTAAACTTCAATTTAGCAGCTTTACAACTAAGAGAAATGTACGCTATACAGAGCAGGCACTATATGGTGGACTTGGCATATAGTGGACAAAGGATATAGGCTGCAGTGTCATGCTTAGGTTGACAGACTCTGAATGAGAGCAATCATGGAGGCAATAATCAGTTTAAGTTTTTATAGAAGGTTGAGGTCTGTTCAGAGAGGAGTCCGGCTGGCAGGGTTTTCTGGGTTCTGCTGGAAGAGGTTAGGTGATAGGTGAGCTACTGGTTGGTGCTGGTTTGAAAGATGAGGGGTGTTTGTAACTCACAGAGACGGCGGCTTGGCGTCATTTTGGGGAGGATGGTGACCAGTGGTCCGGATGGATGGTGCTTGTCCGGTTGGTGAGATCCGATGGTGGTGTCAGAGGGTGGACAGGCAGGTGAGCTTAGGCAGGAGGGCTAAAGCAGTTCAGAGGCCCATAGACTCACGGGTTCCTGGAGGCTATCTGAAATGTCTCTGGCAGGAGTCCAGAATGAAGAGAGTGGTTTCGGGCTTGAGATCCTGGGTTCTGAGAAAGGAGCAAACAGAGAGCAGGGTTAGGATCTGGTAACATTTAGAAGCAAGGTTTGGTAGAAGATCAGTAATACCACACCGGAGCATTAACAAGCTGACACCCTCCTCCTGGTTCCAGCTCCTTAAGAAGGGTGGTAATCAGCTAGATGAAGAGCACCTGCCCGTCCAGCCCTGCTGAGGAGAGAGAAAGGAAAAAACCGGCCTGCACCCAGGCCTAGGAGTATGAGACGCAGCTTATCAGAGCTAAACCAACGGTGAAGCAGGTCAGGCTATGGACTGAGGGCACCATGGAGCACTTCACAGACTTTTTTGAATGCCTGACTGGAACATGTTCAAAGCTGCAGCAACTTATGAAAACAAGATCAATATTGATGAGTATGCCATGCCTGTGTTGGCCTACAACAACAAATGTGTTGAGGACGTCAGCACCACAAAGAACATCATCACTGGGGCAAACCAATGACTTCAGGAAGAACCGGCTTAACAATGCTCCACTGCTCATCAACAGCCCAGCTGTAGAGGTGGTTAACAGCACCAAATTCCTGGGGGTGCACATCACAGACACCATCACCTGGACTGTAAACACCACCTCACTGGTCAAAAGGGCACGGAAAAGCTTGTAATTCCTGCCCCAACATCCTCGCCACCTTCTACAGAAGCTCCATAGAGAGCTTTCTGACCAGCTGTCTTACTGCATGGTGTGGAGGCTGCAGCGCAACGTGAGAAGAGTGGTGAGAAGAGCAGAAAGGATCATTGTAGCTCATCTCCCCTTCGTAAAAGGCATTTCATCCCAGCACTGCGTTTCTAAAGCCTGTAACATCATGAGCGACCCCTCACACCCCCACCATGGACTGTTCTCCCTGAGTCCCTATGGGAAAAAGCTTTGCAGCATTCCATGCAGGATAGGCAGATTCTGTAGCAGCATTTTCTCTGCTGCCATAAGACTGTTGAACTATTGAAAACTCTAATCAAGTCACAACTACAGACTCTCCATCACAGTGTAAACATCATGCTTGCACTACATGTCAAATCTTCAAATATCTTTAAATTGAATTAAACTCAGTGTTTCAACTGTAATTTGCACCATATCAATTTATTTTATTGCACTGCTCAGAACATTCCACCTCAATACCTTTGCGCCATACCTCTCCTATACTTTTTACATTTTGATCACTGCTGTACCTTATAGATGGAAATATTAATTTCACCGCTAAGCTGTTTCCTCCTTGTTGCTGATTTTTTATATAAAAAATACAATTTAATATTTTCATGTTTGAAGCCTGAAATATGGCAAAATGTCAAAAAGTTCAAGGGGGCTGAATAAATTCGCAATGCACACTAAATTCCAGTGACTCAGTGGGCCAACAATCATGAACATAAATGATCATATTTAAAAAATACATATGCAAGAACATGATCTGAATGTTAAGAGAAGCTAAACAAGAGTTATTGTTTTTCTTTTATTTGGTCTGTTTTAAATATGATGAAATCTAACAGTTCATCTGCTAATAGAGGATTACTACTAGTTTTAAAATACACATCAGAAGATATTTAGGGTGATATGCTTTAACTGCTTATTTAAACAGGAAAACACACATCAACATGCAAGTACCTCCAGAAATCAAAGTGAAGGAAGTGAAACCCAACCCAAGGCGCCCACCTTACAGTAAGTATATAATATACCTGACCTGACTTTTGCTGAAGCTACTTTATTGAACCTTTTGATGATTTGAGATCAAACAACACGTGTGCAGCCTCCCTTCTCCTTGTTTCTGGACCTGTTTCTTTCTTTTTTTTTTTTGCATAAACGATGACAAAATAATTTCGTAGACAGTCCTTTTTTGAAGACTATAATGAAAACTGACGAGGTAAACGTGGATCTTTGATGACGAAAACATCACAAGTCATGGGTGTGAGTTTTGTTGACGAGACTAAATAAAAATGTTAGCGTCTGGTCTGTTGGTTTGTTTAAAATGCATCATTGTGCTGTAATCTGCTTAGCAGTGTCATCCGTGCTGCTTCTTCGTGTTTAGTCACGCTGCCTATCTTCACTCTCAGCAGTTTGGCTCTTCCTGTCCTCGCTACTTAATAAACTATATTTGGCTGATCATCCTCTGCCAAGAGTAAAAATCCTTTTGTCTGACAATCAAGATTTTGTTTCTTCCAGCTCCCAAGAGGTGATACAAAACCTACCTGAATTTCTACCAAAAGAAACCTAATTTATATCTAAATCAAATATTTCATTGCATACTGTTTATTTTTGGATAAAGACCTGGGTGAAAAGGAACATAGATATTTAAATGTTCCTCTCTCATAGTTCTTGTTTATATCTATTTGAATATTTCAACATTTGAGTGAATATAATTTTTAAATTTAGGTCTAGATTGTCATGGCATTATATGGCAATTATGTAGGTTCTCTGTATATTTTTTTTATATCAGACCCTTATGAATTTAAATCTACTTTGACTCCTGAGCAGTGGTAGCCAAGGGGCAAATTCTTAGAAATAAAGCAAAATTGCCAAAGTATAAAGAAGAATGTTTCTGTTCTTTGCTCTTTTGGAGTAATCAACATTAATTGATCTGTGTGGAATGCATAATTCATAGTAGATCAGGAAGTGTTTGGTTCTGGGTGGAAACCTTTTATGTCTAAAATCATTCCTTTTTTGTACAGCAAAGATGAACTACATGGCAGCATTGTATCTCCAGCAATTGTAGTATCTAAGCAAAATCCGCCAGTCTGGTTAAGAATCTAGTTGTTATTCGAAATGGTAAAATTTAGCATTTTTATCAATTACAACAAAAAACTGACTACATATAGACTAAAATGTGACTAAAAATAATAATAGTTTCCTGAGGACAAAACAAATACAAAATATTTTAATCCAAACAGGCCTCGGCACTGTGCCATGACATAATCGCCCGACGTATCTGGCCTTCGGAGGAAGCAGCCGCTAGATTCGTACTCAGCAGAATACAGTCTCAAGAGGCGGTATTTCCTGAGAAATAGCCAAAGAAAAAAAACTGAAAAAAAGAAAAGTAGCCAATCACAGGTGGATTGCTTTGTCGTGTGGGTAACACCTTTAAAGTGACAAAAGAGTTCACAGAAGGAGGTCCACTCTCACAGGGTCGCACATCAAACCACACATAGAAAAGGAACAAGCACTCATGTGTGTAATATAATGCAGCCCTGTGGTACTCTATTTCAAGGTCGTAGGTTCAGTCTAAGTTTTGGTGGGGACCTTGACAAGGTCCCCACCAAAACGCTGGTCTTGGGTGGTCAACCCCCCAAGACCACCGAACATTTTTGAGAAGGGGGGGAAACCACATTGGCTTAATAACCCCCTCCCCCCAACCATAACCAGATCCCCTAAATCTGTCCTCCCTGTATTGGGAGCGCGCATTGAAGCCAGATAGGCGCATCTTGCGGATCTGCGCTTCTGATCCATTTCTTGATAAAAATAACTCACAATCATGTAAAGGTTGTAGCATCAAGTTTAAGCGACAGCTGTTGTTTAAAAAATAGTAAAATAAATAAGTAGATGAGGTCTTCTCACGCCGTTTTGTTTTTAAAGGGCAATGTGAAATATGAGAGATTACTGGATTAAGGGAATTTTTAGTATATGACATGATATAACACACAACAATTTTTGGGAATTTGGAAACAGTTGCTCTTTATTTATGGGGGGGGGGGCGAACGTTATTTCACCTGCAAGTCTTTAACTGTGTTTATTCCTCTCTTCATCAACAACAAACTCTGTGGCACATTTGATCATTTTTTGCCAGAGTTATGAGAGGGAAATTAAATATTTTAGCCACCTGATATAATCCATTCCCCCATGGGAAAAAAAGAAACAAATAATCCATTATTTTTCATATATTGGGTTTGAAACATTTATTATTTTATATTTTGAAATCCAAAATAGTTCAAATAAATCTCACTGTTGGTTTGATGATCTTTATGAAATGTATTTTAATTCTTAATTTAAAATGTCTGGAGGAAAACATAGTCCAGTGGTTTTAGTTTGAACTTTTTTTGTTAATTTTTAGATAAATATTTAAACAGAAAATACATTTGATAAAGATCATAAAAGGGGGAACAGATTATTTCAGTCAGCTAAAATAAATGGTTCCCCTCCTTTAATTTTAGCAAACAATGCACACATGTCAACAAATCCACATGATTTGTTGTTGGTGAAGAGAGGAATAAGCACAGTTAAGGAACTGTGTGCTGTTTAATGTTTTAGCTGATTTTCCCCATTTAATTTAATTGTATTTATCATATTTTTTTAATCGTTCTCTTATATTATTTTATGATTTTTTTTATTTTATTATGTATTTTATATGTGCAACACTTGGTCAACATGTTTCTGTTTTAAATGTGCTATATAAATAAAGTTGATTGGGTTGGATGAGACGGTTCTAAGCGCCTCTCTGCTTGCGTAAATTGAAGTACACACAAATTTTGGTTTTGTGTGCGAGGCGGCAAAAAAAAAGATGGAAAAAAGGAGTCAACATCTGCACCCTCAGGGCTAAGCCCCTGATCTCCTAGAATCCTAGATCCGCCCCTGTCTGAGAACTAACCCCTCACCTGGAGCCCTGAAGCTCCAGCCACCTCTCCATCGTTCTGCTCTGCCCCTTGCTCTGCTGTCTGAGCATCCTATGTGAAAAAATATTACATAATTAACAGACCTATTCTACCTCACATTCAGTGCTGACCTTACTAAACACCGGACTTTACAACAAATGCGTTGCGTGATAGATATCTAACTTATGGGTCCACTCACTGTACTTACAGCTGACGTAGCGAAATAACTTCTAATGTCTGTCCTTTTCTTTTTTGGTGGCGACATGGTCTCGGAGACTCAGAAGGAGACGCGTGTGCCCAGCTAGCCGCCGCCTTTTGCAACTAATCAAAGAACGTCCGACGATTCAACTGACTCCCCCTCCCCCCACCCACCCGACAGCACCGTTCCGACACGGTCTCGGAGGCTCATAATAAATGTCAAACTAAGAAGCTTCCGTTCCGCGCACCGCCTGTTGCTGCTAATCAAAAATCGTAGATCCACGTTCTTTGAGACAATATGGCAAAAATTGGTCAGGACTTTTTCATATCCTGTGAATATTGGTCGGGACATGTCCCTACCGTCCCTACCCAAACCTACGCCCATGCTCTATTTGCACCTGTAACATGGTAAACATTTACGTGAGGAAGAATTAATGAGCAACTGTATGAAGTAAAATTGCTTTTAGGAGTATGTATTGCATGTATAAACTTTTGGCAGAATACTGACGGCATAATTATTGTTGTTAAAATGGTTGCAGTGTTCAATTTTTTTTTTCATATTTTTATTATTAGTTTAAATTGATGCATGATTATGGTGTTAAAGTCCTCCAAAATAATTTTGCTAAAATTGATAAATTTTGTGTGGTTGTGCCTATCTTTGACCTGATAATTTTCCAATGCAAGTTCAAATTCACTCATTAGCATAGAAATCATGTACTTTTTAAGACCACACGTATATTATTTAAAATTTAAACTTTTGATAAAAACAGAAATATATTCCCTGTCCTGAGTTGTGAAATTCACAGCATTTTATTGAAGACCTATTCTAAAGACTTGTTGTTCTTTCCAGGCTGAAACATTTCCAAAGATGTTTTACTGACTTCTGTTAATTTATAAGACTCCATGAATGTACAATTATCAAAAATTCACAGTGAATTTCTTTTAGTCATGCAAACACATTTTTATCATTATTTTGATATGTTAATGCTTTTAATCTGAAAACTTTGAGAGGGGATTTTGTTCATTTGTTTCTTTAAGCAAATAACACATTTTGTCAATGGAAATTTAAAAGTAAAAATGTAATATAGAAATAAGACTCTGAAAAACTTGATTACAAAAATGTTTTGAGACTAACTTTGCTATTTTCTATTTCTATTTTTCAAACGACTGTTTTGTAAATTCTATCCTTTTCAAATAGCATTTTATAGACTTTTTATTTTTTTTTGCCTAGGAGCAAAGATTCATTATCATTGGTCTGAATTGAGGTTAGCAAAAACATTTTATTGGTCAAAGTGTGTCAAGAGCAAATTTATGTATTAGGCTGAATTTAAGAATAATACAATATTTAAAATTCAATATTGTCATGATTTTACTAAGGTTCAGACCCAAATGCTGAAGACCAAACAGGGAGACCAGGAGCAAAGGTTTAATAGGTTTTATAGAAGAGATAAGGCAGAGAGAAGTGTTGCTCTGAACACTGCTCAACCGGAACTGAAAAGTGAGGGGAAGATACAGCGATTAGTTCAGGCTGAGTGGGAAATTTGATCTGTAAACTTAGAGAAGAGGATCTGGTTGCTGACTCATGTTTCCAGAGAAGTTGTATACAGGTGCTGGTCATAAAATTAGAATATCATGAAAAAGTAGATTGATTTCAGTAATTCCATTTAAAAAGTGAAACTTGTATATTATATTCATACATTACATACAAACTCATATATTTCAGATGTTTATTTTGTTTAATTTTGATGATTACAAATGACAACAAATGAAAATCTCAAATTCATCATATCAGAAAATTAGAATATTACTGAAGACCAATAAAAACAAAGGATTTATAGAAATGTTGGCCAACTGAAAAGTATGAACATGAAAAGTATGAGCATGTACAGCACTCAGTATTTAGTTGGGCCTCCTTTGGCCTGTATTACTGCAGCAATGCGGCGTGGCATGGAGTCGATCAGTCTGTGGCACTGCTCAGGTGTTATGATAGCCCAGGTTGCTCTAATAGTGGCTTTTAGCTCTTCTGAATTGTTGGGTCTGGTGTATTGCATCTTCTTCTTCACAATACCCCATAGATTTTCTATGGGGTTAAGGTCAGGAGAGTTTGCTGGCCAATTAAGAACAGGGATACCATGGTCCTTCAACCAGGTACTGGTAGCTTTGGCACCGTGTGCAGGTGCCAAGTCCTGTTGGAAAATGAAATCTGCATCTCTAAAAAGTTGGTCAGCTGCAGGAAGCATGAAGTGCTCTAAAACTTCCTGGTATGTGGCTGCGTTGACCCTGGACCTCAGAAAACACAATGGACCAACACCAGCAGATGACATGGCACCCCAAACCATCACTGACTGTGGAAACTTTACACTGGACTTCAAGCAACGTGGATGAAGTGCCTCTCTTCTTTTCCTCCAGACTCTGGGACCTTGATTTCCAAAGGAAATGCAAAATTTACTTTCATCAGAGAACATGACTTTGGACCACTCACCAGCAGTCCAGTCCTGTTTCTCTTTAGCCCAGGCAAGACGCTTCTGACGCTGTCTGTGGTTCAAGAGTGGCTTGACACAAGGAATGCGACAGCAGAAACCCATGTCTTTCATACGTCTGTGTGTGGTGGTTCTTGAAGCACTCACTCCAGCTGCAGTCCACTCTTTGTGAATCTCCCCCACATTTTTGAAGGGGTTTTGTTTCACAATCCTCTCCAGGGTGCGGTTATCTCTCTTGCTTGTACACTTTTTTCGACCACATCTTTTCCTTCCCTTCGCCTCTCTATTAATGTGCTTGGACACTGAGCTCTGTGAACAGCCAGCCTCTTTAGCGATGACCTTTTGTGTCTTGCCCTCCTTGTGCAAGGTGTCGATGGTCGTCTTTTGGACAACTGTCAAGTCAGCAGTCTTCCCCATGATTGTGTAGCCTATAGAACTAGACTGAAAGACCATTTAAAGGCTTTTGCAGGTGGTTTGAGTTAATTAGCTGATTAGAGCGTGGCACCAGGGGCCATCAATTTTGAACCTTTTCACAATATTCTAATTTTCTGATATGATGAATTTGAGATTTTCATTTGTTGTCATTTGTAATCATCAAAATTAAACAAAATAAACATCTGAAATATATGAGTTTGTATGTAATGTATGAATATAATATACAAGTTTCACTTTTTAAATGGAATTACTGAAATCAATCTACTTTTTCATGATATTCTAATTTTATGACCAGCACCTGTAATCTTTGACTCCAGTCTGTATGCTGTTGTTCCAGTGTTTGTCTGATTCGGTGGAGGGCGGAGCAGGGTTTACCCAGAATGCGGTTGTTTGTAGGCGAATTGGGAAGCTGACTGCCACTCAGATTTCCTGCGGTACTTGAACGAGTTGTAGTGGAGATGAATCCCTTTCTCAGTGTAAAGCTCAAACAATCTCTTGGGGAAAGTGGGTCCAAACCTCCTGTTTCTAACCTCAGCACAGCTTGAAGCTCTGTTGATCCTTCCAGGGAGAGAAGGTCCGAAAAGTCCAGTTTGCAGGATGACTTCCTGCCGAGAGGCAAAGACAAAAACAATGTTAAAACTCAGGTTGACAAGAACTCAGTTTGACTCAGCAAAACTCCGCTTGGCTAGAGTACCCAAAACTGGCAAACACTCTGGGATCGAGGTAGTGGCAGTCAGCAGCTTAAGAACACTCCGTTAACGAGGAAACCATCAGCCGGTGTGTGAGGAGACGGACCAGAACCAGGCGCCTCCTGGTGGAGGAAGGAAGACAAATACAGAAACACTAACACACAGACAGGGGTCCTGACAAATATAAAAAAGACAATATATAAAAATTACAATCTAAAAACGGAGACATTTTTGAAAAAAATAAAAACTATTTGAAAATAAATGTGAGAAAAAAAGTAGCTTAAAAAAATTTCTGGATTACATATTTTTATTTTTATCTATGTCAAGTTATCTGCTTGCAGTAATAACAGAACAATATCACTCCATAGTGTTTTCTAAAAGAAATAGGTAGGATTAGTAGCAATTTCACCTGCATAAAACAAACACACAAAAAAAATATTTTTATTGTGAAACTAAATGCAACTCTCCATTACATATCCAAGGAGATGACTCTTTTTTTAATGAAACATTACTAAATGCTCTCTTTTGCAGGTGACACCTGCTGCTTCACGTTTTCTGGGAGAATGTTGTCCAAAAAGCAGATCCGTAAATACTTTTTCACCAGCCCTTCCTGCTCAAAGACTGCAGTCTTGTAAGTATTACAAAGTTTGTATTAATTTCAAATTGTTCATTTTAATACCTGAAATTTTTAATGTATTTAGAGTTAATAATTTCTTCTCATTTTGTCATGTTAAACCCAAAAACCTAAATTGTGTTTTTCTTAGGATATGATTTAGAAGGTCAACACCATGTGGCACCATGTAAGCGTGAAGCGGGAAACAGATGTACATGTTTTTAAAACTTTTAACCAATAAATAGCCAAAAGACAAGACATGTAAATGTGCTCACTCACCCCTTTTTATTATTATAATATTAATATTTTATTACCCTAAATTGCAAATTATCAGACTACAAGTGCCAATAACCAAGGGTACCACTGATACCTGGTATTTTCTAACCCTAACCCTGGTATTTCTCTAGTTTTTTATATTCTTTTTCCCTGATGTTGCAGTCACTTGGTATTGTCAACCACAACAGCTTTCCTCAACTTTTTGTCCACCACCAGAATGTTCGGTTTGTCCCACAGGATCTTGGCTCAGTCATTCTCAGTCATTCTCTACCGTCTTTTGAGTTGTTTCCCAGTTTGACCTTGGGGTTTTCAGCCCATACTCTGCACAGATGTTCCTGTACACTATTCCAGCCACTTGGTAATGGCGTTCCATGTAAGCTTTCCCTGGTAGCATCTTGCACCCTGCAGTTATGTGCTGGATTGTCTCAGGGGCCTCTTTGCAAAGTCTGCGAGAAGCATCCCGCTGCACCATGCGGAAAGGCGGGGCTTGACATCATATCACATCAAGGACAGCCATATTGGAAATGCTGACTTAAGAGAGGAGGGAAGCACATAGACATATATGAGATATATATAAAGATATATGTAAAGATATGTTTTCATCTTAATTGTGAATAGTTATCCCTCGAGCCCTGACGTCAATAGTCCATCAATTTAAACAAAAATACGCCGTACAGTCCTGAGGCATCATTAGTGTGTTCAGCTTGAATCAGCAGGTTTGAGTGGCAGGTCGACCGCCCCAATATGGCGGCCGTAATTCCTGCGCCGTGACAGCCAATGCGGGTCTACTCATGTTGCCTATAGGCAAGAGCGGTCAGCATTTCCAATATGGCTGTCGCAGGCTGCAGCGGGATGTACTTGAAATCTGCACCTTTGGTCTTGTCTGATGTGGTAGGTCTGGGCCTCTATTGCTCTGGTGCTCAGGACCTTCTCCTGTGCAGCCATGATCAGTGCCTCTGTGTTGTCCTTCAGTCTGGCTTTGTCTAGCCATTGGTAGGATTTCCTGATATCTGTCACTTTGATTATGTTTCGGTGGTACATCCCGTGTAGGGGCTTATCCACTCCATGACGAAGACTCTGGCACCTCATCTTCTGTTCCCCATTGTCTGAGATATATATATATATATATATATATATATATATATATATATATATATATACATATATATATATACATATATATATATACATATATATATATATATATATATATATATATATATATATATATATATATATATATATATATATATATATATATATATACATATATATATATATGTATATATATATATATATGTATATATATATATATATATGTATATATATATATATATATATACGCGAGATGAGACGCTGTGCAGCTCATCTCAATGGGTTCTTTGCACAGCTCCACTACTTCCTGAACTTCAGCCAGCTGTATTTGGGTGGTTAAAAGGGGTCTGAGGATCTCACCTCGAAACCTAATGGCAGTCATTCTATCTCTGACCAGAAGATGTATGGCTGTGTAGCCCTTCAAAGAAAGGCCACCCCATACCATTACTGATCCACTGCCAAACCGTTCATGCTGAAGGATGCTGCAGGCAGCAGATCGCTATCCACTGTGTCCTCACACTGCTCATTGTGAACCTTCTTATCAAGTGCACAGGGGACCGGTGGCAAATTTGCCAATGCTGGTGTTCTCTGGCAAATACCACGCTTCCTGCACAGTGTTGGGCTGCAAGCAGATACCCCCAACTGTGGACATCAGGCCCTCATACCATCCTCATGGAGTCTGTTTTCTAACCAAACACACGCAGTGGTCCTGCCGTTTGGTTATTGGCCTCCTACACCCTCCTCTTTGTCTCCTGCTGTTCTGGCCTGTCTCCTGGTAGTGCCTTCACACTCTGGACACCAGACTGAGAGACACAGCAAACCTTTTTGCCACAACCCGTATTGATGTGCCATCCTGGATGAGCTGCACTACCCAACCCACTCATGTAGGACGTAGAGTCCATCCAATACTACAACAAAGGTGAAAGTACCAACAACATTCAAAAGTGACTGAAACATCAACCAGAAAGCATATGGAATGAGAAGTGGTCTGTGGTCCCCACCTGCAGAACCACTCCTTTATTGAGTGTATCTTGCTAATTGCCAGTAATGTCCACCTGTTGTCCATTCATTTGCACAACAGCATGTGAAGTCTACAGCCTCTGCTCCACACTTACAAATAGCTACAGAACGTAGTGAGCTCACTGTTGGTAGTTGCTATGGTAAACTGTCAAGAGAAATAATCTTAAATGAAAAGAATAAAAATGCAACTTTGACAAGCATGTTTAAAGAAAACTGTTATACATATAAAGAGCACAACAAATCTAGTAGATTGATATATTTATTTACAAAGTGAACCCTTTTCTTTCCGAACAAGTGCTCACATTCTAGCAGAACAAATAATCATACATACTGTTTATCGAGCCTCACAATGGAATAGTCAGATCAGAGCATATTCGTATATATAACATGTGGCAAGACTTGAAAAACATTTTTCAAGTGAGTAATCAACACTGAGGTTGATTACTTAGCTCAGATTTTTGGCTCAATTTGGGTTGAACTGCATACTGTGGAGTAAAAATGAACACTGAGAGATGATATGCAAGGAAGAAAAGGTTTTATTTTACTCTGCAGAGGAGAACTACATGAGACAGCTGCATACAGCTCCCAGTGTAGCTCTGACTAGGTCGCTGCCCCACCTTTGCATATATAGAGAATTCTACACACGAACATTGATGCTTCCCAACAGAAACACCTCATCAAAGGAAATAAATTTGTTCAGATAAACATTTCAGACAACTGTTTTCCTTTCACCAGAGACAGGACGTAAGGATCTATTTTCATTTGGGAAAACCAGGACACCTTGGAGCGGGGCGGGGTTTGATTGAAAGAACAAATGTCTCATCATCGGGATTTGCTCTGTGATCAGAGGAAATGTTACTTGTTACTAGTTGTTTTAATGGTTATTGAGTCAGATATGTATCGGTAATGTTTGGTTTATCTAAAGGATTTTATCTGTTACTGTGTAAATGAGTTTGGCTGTAATTTAAGGACAGATTCTAATATATCTGCAGAGTGGGGACTATAAATCTGATAGGAGTTTAATTTTTTTATTGTTGTTTTGCACAATATGCTTAACTAAGTATTTTTTGTTGTTGAATATTAGAGATTTTGCAGATATATTTTGTAGATACATTTTTTAGATTTACTTATATATTTCTAACCCTTTTATAGAATAGAATAGAAAATCCCTTTATTGTCCAACAATGGGCAAATTTACAGCAGCAGGAAGATTATTGAAAATGGTCACACAAATGAGGACCTTAGAAAAATGTATAAGAATAACATAATAGGGAAGAGTTAAAATATAAAAAATAAAATTCTGTAAAGTGTTTCAACAATATAAAACTGGAGAATTAATAACCAATATGCAGCTATGGACATTTTTACAGGAATGGATATTTGAAAATAGCAGCAACATCAGAGATGTGCAGAATGACAGCAGCATGTTATTTAACTGACTAAGGTTTCTATCATTACATTTGATTTTATTTGTTCCTGCTCCCGGTGGTTGGAACCTTTATTCCACTCTGGATTCTTTTGAGTGTAGTCTTTGTTCACTTTAACTTTTTTTTTTAATAAATAAATAAATAAACAGTTTTGAAAACCTCGATATTCATTCTTTTCCTGCTTTGTGTGTCAACTTTCACGGTTGCTAAGCAACAGAGCATACGGCAGTAAAACCCGCTGAAGGGAGGACCTGTTGGAATTTACAGCCAAAACTCTTCTGGCCTCCTTATTTTCAGGACTTTGAAGGATCCAGTCTAGGTAGACCGGGTCCTTGGTGGATGCAGCCCAGGTTTTCGAACAGAGGCTCTGATTAAGAACAGGGCTGCCCGCACTGACGCGGCTCAGGGATTACGTCACACGGAGCGTCGTTCGCAGTGAAATCAGGACATTTCCTTACTTTCTAAAAAAAACTCGGGACGCCCGGGACAGGACGTGAAATACGGATATGTCCCGGGAAATGCGGACGTTTGGTCACCCTACAATAAGGACCTGTTTATCTGTTTCCCCCTTGTCTAACCTAGGGAGGAAACTCATTTTCAAACCCTCCTTCCTTTCCCTATATCTCAGCACAAAGAATGGAACAATAGCTTCTAACTAATCACCCCATTCAGGAGGAAAAAACCGGCACACTATAATATTTAACCTTACTAACATCCAAGAAAAAAACCACAATACATTTTGGGGTTTTATTTATAACCAATGTGGAAAAGCACTATTTGTTTTTTTATTGGAATTTGCAATTATGCATTAGTTTGAATAGTTATTTGACCTTTCAACAAAATACATTTAAGTTTATGTCATTGTTTTAAACAAGTTATAAAAAGAGATATAAAGAAGAGTTAATATCATGGGTATTCATCATATGTATTTCGTCACATTTAAAAGATCAGATTTATATTTATATTAATCTATTTTGCTTGTATTTTCCACTGTGACTCTTGTGCAAACTTTATCTTTATTTTGCGCATTTGTATTAAAACAAAGAAACAAATAAATTTGTTCTTCTCTTCTGTTTCAGATTTGTCACGGTGACAGGTAGCCACATCTGTGTGAATCCAAGGCTATTATGGGTCCAAAAGATCATAGAGAATCTAGACAAAGATAAATTTTAAAGGTCACAACACTGCTTGCATTTGTTTTTCTACTTACAGTTGAGATAATGACTATTCTTTGTGCTACAAATTGTGTTTGCTCACTAATAAAAATGCTTATTTTATTGCTTTTATATGGCTTCATTTTTTTGTGAAAGAGTAACTGTATTGTTTCCAAATTGATTAAAAAATATATATTACTTGCGGTCCATTAAGGAAAATATTCTGTGCCATATTGGTCATTTAAATTTTCAATATACATATGTGGTGACAAAAGCCTGCTAGCTTCACTGTGTCATTCAATTCAGTTCAAAAATACTTTATCCCAAATTAAAATTAGATATTACAGTAACTCATATGTGTTTTGTATTTTTGTTGCTTTTTTTTTTTTTACAACAGCTGTCGTAGGTGTTGTGAGAGTGTACCAGAAGATTATGAATATATTACATAACTAGAACTGGAAGTTATAGTTAATTAATAGGTCATTCAAATCAAGGATAAAACTAATTAATCATCAGTTGAATGATTATAACAGTAATTTGCTTACTGACCAGGTTTTTAGCCTCTTACCTAAAAGGTTGAACTCCTGAATCCGGCTGTTAAAAATTCAGTTGTCTGATAATACTTTTCACTCCTCTGTCAGAAACAGGGGCGTCTCCAGGTTTAAGAGACAAGGGTGGCTCAGCCCCTAGAAGATATTGCGCGCGCACAGCGCGCGCCGAAATTTTTTCAGTGCACCTGCTAAGGCGTTGTCTAAGACAAGGGTGTAACTTTGTGTTGAAAGTTGGTGGGGACGGCTCATAAGGAAAGGGAGCTACCTGCGCGACGCCTTTTTTTTTTGTTGGAAAGGATAAAGCCAAAAAAATGCGGATAACATTTATCAATTTAATGCTTACAGTTGAAAACATAACTGTTACAATATTCACTTATATATTTTGTGCAAAAAATATCACATAAATCTAAACAGACAGTACAATTCAAAGAAATCAAATAAATATATCAATTTTGTAGAACATTTATTGACAGTCAATTTTAGGTCACTTTTTAAAATTTATTTACTTTTAAAACAAGACTCGGACAAGATCTTATGGAGCCTTAAGCAGAATATGATTAAGCAACTCCGTCTTTCTGTCAAGAACATCCACCAGCAGGGTATCCAGGGGGGGATTTACCATTAGGCAATACTAGGCAACTGCCTAGTATTGCCTAATGGTCAAGGAATACAACTATTCCTTATTTGTGCACATTAAATATGTTTTTGATAAAAATCCTTTGGCTAAAATGCCATCAGAATGCTGATAATTAGAGAGGAAAAGGGGACAAGAAGAGAGGGACAAAACCTAGAACAAAAAATGGATGTCTATTGTCTATTCTATTAACATTTCTCTATCTGTAGAATGGGTCTGTTTTATGGGTTTTCTTCTCAGGGGGCCCCCTGCCTGTCTTTGCCTAGGGCCCCAAATTTCCTAAATCCGCCCCTGAGGGTATCAATACTGATTTGATAGAATCTGGGAGAGCGGACTACAGGTGCTGGTCATAAAATTAGAATATCATGAAAAAGTAGATTGATTTCAGTAATTCCATTTAAAAAGTGAAACTTGTATATTATATTCATACATTACATACAAACTCATATATTTCAGATGTTTATTTTGTTTAATTTTGATGATTACAAATGACAACAAATGAAAATCTCAAATTCATCATATCAGAAAATTAGAATATTGTGAAAAGGTTCAAAATTGATGGCCCCTGGTGCCACACTCTAATCAGCTAATTAACTCAAACCACCTGCAAAAGCCTTTAAATGGTCTTTCAGTCTAGTTCTATAGGCTACACAATCATGGGGAAGACTGCTGACTTGACAGTTGTCCAAAAGACGACCATCGACACCTTGCACAAGGAGGGCAAGACACAAAAGGTCATCGCTAAAGAGGCTGGCTGTTCACAGAGCTCAGTGTCCAAGCACATTAATAGAGAGGCGAAGGGAAGGAAAAGATGTGGTCGAAAAAAGTGTACAAGCAAGAGAGATAACCGCACCCTGGAGAGGATTGTGAAACAAAACCCATTCAAAAATGTGGGGGAGATTCACAAAGAGTGGACTGCAGCTGGAGTGAGTGCTTCAAGAACCACCACACACAGACGTATGAAAGACATGGGTTTCTGCTGTCGCATTCCTTGTGTCAAGCCACTCTTGAACCACAGACAGCGTCAGAAGCGTCTTGCCTGGGCTAAAGAGAAACAGGACTGGACTGCTGGTGAGTGGTCCAAAGTCATGTTCTCTGATGAAAGTAAATTTTGCATTTCCTTTGGAAATCAAGGTCCCAGAGTCTGGAGGAAAAGAAGAGAGGCACTTCATCCACGTTGCTTGAAGTCCAGTGTAAAGTTTCCACAGTCAGTGATGGTTTGGGGTGCCATGTCATCTGCTGGTGTTGGTCCATTGTGTTTTCTGAGGTCCAGGGTCAACGCAGCCACATACCAGGAAGTTTTAGAGCACTTCATGCTTCCTGCAGCTGACCAACTTTTTGGAGATGCAGATTTCATTTTCCAACAGGACTTGGCACCTGCACACAGTGCCAAAGCTACCAGTACCTGGTTGAAGGACCATGGTATCCCTGTTCTTAATTGGCCAGCAAACTCTCCTGACCTTAACCCCATAGAAAATCTATGGGGTATTGTGAAGAAGAAGATGCAATACACCAGACCCAACAATTCAGAAGAGCTAAAAGCCACTATTAGAGCAACCTGGGCTATCATAACACCTGAGCAGTGCCACAGACTGATCGACTCCACGCCACGCCGCATTGCTGCAGTAATACAGGCCAAAGGAGGCCCAACTAAATACTGAGTGCTGTACATGCTCATACTTTTCATGTTCATACTTTTCAGTTGGCCAACATTTCTATAAATCCTTTGTTTTTATTGGTCTTCAGTAATATTCTAATTTTCTGATATGATGAATTTGAGATTTTCATTTGTTGTCATTTGTAATCATCAAAATTAAACAAAATAAACATCTGAAATATATGAGTTTGTATGTAATGTATGAATATAATATACAAGTTTCACTTTTTAAATGGAATTACTGAAATCAATCTACTTTTTCATGATATTCTAATTTTATGACCAGCACCTGTATGTTCAACCATCCATTTTCTTTAACCTTATCCCTCAGTGGGATCAGGAGGTGCTGGTGCATATCTCCAGCCACGTTCTGGGTGAGAGGTGGGATCACCCTGGACAGGTCACCAGTCTGTCGCAGTATGTTCAACCAGCTTAAAAGTAATCGGTAATCAGATTTATTATTTGCACTTTTACTAAGTGAACTTTCTAACTCCCTTAAATCTGAAACTCCAATGCCAAAATTGTTTAAATCTTTTATCTTTGGACCCCCTGCAGAGTGAAGTCACACCTGCAAGATCCTATCCTTATCTCCCTGCTAGATTGCAAAAAGCAGCTTGCTCATGAGTTGTCAACTTAACACGCTAAATCTTAAATGTACGTGTACATATAAAAGAAAAAGGGGCGCAGTGCTTGCTACTGAATGGCAACACTATCAAAGTCAGGAAAAAGTTTTAAGTGAAGCCGGGATTAAAACAGTAGCTACAAGAAGCTTCAAATAAAAGATGTTCTTTATGTTCAACCTAAACACCAACTCCGATAGACCATCAGTAGAGCAGGTGTTTAAATTAATCAATCACTGCTGCGAAAGCTTATAGCAGTGAAAGCTAATATACCACAGCCATCACTTAATAAACGCAAAATAATCAACCCTCTAAAAACGGAAAACTGTAATGGACTGAAAGTCCTGTTTTTTATGTGGGAAATTATTTGCGTGTGTTTTAGTATAATTCTGATATATTGGCGCTGTTGTCTGTTTCTATGGCAACGATACTGAATGTAGTGTAGCTTAGAGACCTGCACGGGTCGAGTTTTACCAATCCGCACCCGCCCGAACCCGTTAGGATGACTACCGAACCCGACCCGTCACCCGCGGATATCTTCAATTCAAATCCGAACCCGACCTGACCCGTTGATATTTAACCCACAACCCGTCACGTTAACACATCATAGGCTATTGTACGCTACGCTGCACCCAGTACCTGATTAATATAACATTTCTGATGTCCATACCAACACACACGCATAAAAAAAAAATCACCAACTACCCGCCCGGACTAAAAAAATATCCGCCCGACGCCCGACCCGTTTATTTTTATTTATGTATTTTCCGCGGGTACCCGACCCGTTGCAGGACTGTGTAGCTGACATAACAGGGCCGGAAAAAAGTGGTTTGAGTTTTTTTCCAACGGTTCAGTTATATTTTAAATACGGTATTAACTTATTTTTACACTATTGTGTAAGAGTGCTTGCACAATACTATTTTACCTCATTGTGTTTAAGATCCTCACGTCCTGTCTCTGGTGTGAACGGAAAACAGTTTTCTGAAATGTTTATCTGAACGTATATTTATGTCTTTTGATGAAGTTGTTCTCTTGGGAAAATTCAATGTTAATGTGTGTATATGCTGTGGATTCTTTTTAAATGTAGGGGTGTGTTTCTGAATGCTTCAGAATCACACTGGGAGCTGTCTTTAGCGGTTTTGTGTCATTCTCCTCTGCAGAGAAAAATAAAACCTTTTCTTCCTTACTCTCAGTGCTCATTTTTACTCCACACTGGCTTCTCTAAATTCTTCGTAGGTGTAAATGTGTGTGTGTGAATTGTCTCTGTGGTGGACTGGCGACCTGTCTAGGGTTGACCCTGCCTCTCGCACGTAGACAGCTGGGGATAGGCACCAGAACCCCTCGTGACTCCAGCAGGGATGAACCGTAATGGAAAATGGATAGATGGATGGAAGCATACAAGATGCAGACAAAAGTCTTGAGATGTTCTACCACTTTTAAATTGTCTGCACTAGTTACAGTTTGAACTTACTTTTATGGTATGTCAGTTTTTCTTCTCTATCCAGTTTCCTCTTAGAATCCATTGCTGGGATCATGTCATTAATTGCAGTTCTTGTTTTTTTTTTGTTTTTTTTTTTATCAAGGTCTGTTTATTTAGATTTTTTTAGTGTTAACATCCTTCAACACCAGCCACCCTCAACCATAGCCAGTCAGACCAGGTACAAATTTGC